ATCTAAATATCCTCAACAGATCTACAAATCTCTCAGTGTGTATATTACATCTAAATATCCTCAACAGATCTACAAATCTCTCAGTGTGTATATTACATCTAAATATCCTCAACAGATCTATCAAACCTATTCATTATAACTCTGTACCAACAATTACATTGATACATGAACGCATACAAAAAAATCGGTATACTGAAGATCTGATAAAAGCAAAGAAATATTTGCCTTTCAGCTACAGCTTAGTTAGTCTTATACTGTAGGTATGTTATATAGACGAGGTGGCTATCATTTTTTATCATTTGATCAGGTACGTGTCTGTATATTTTTAACAACATCCTGTTTCAAATGTATTTGTTACATGCTGAAAAGTTGTTAAACAATGAACAAAAAATATTTCATCTTTGTTACTTTGTTTTTTATTGTTCTGTTTATTTTGGCATGCATGCCATATTTTTTTTTCTGCAATTATTGAATGTGCATCCATCTCTGTGCACTGAATTATTTTTAATTTGTTTAATATTGACAAATAAACTAATTAAGTACCCATAAATGTCATCAGTTTGCTAAAATAAAAAAATTCATGACACATTTCAGTCATGGCAGAATGACAATTTTTTTTTTAAAAAACACACTGGTTTGAAAATATAGGCAAGGTTAACATATTGGTTAATCTCTAAATAAAGCTAGAAGATCTATATAACTCTCGATCTTCACATCTCTATATGTGTATGGTAGTTTCAAAGCATAAAATATACTTATTGAAACAAGACATTTTCTTATGAAATATGGTTGTTTTATTACTAGTTTTACAGCATATTTCTGTGATGGTCTACTTTTGTGTATTCACTTTTACAATTTCATCCCACAATCTACATACGGTTACAATCAACATAATCACCATGCAATGTGATTGCTATTTTTTATTTTTTTGCATAACTGAGCAAAAAAGTTCTATTTTTTGACACCCATATAATTTGTAAGACGTTTTGAATTACAGATATTTTGCCCACTACATTCCTTTCAATGTGACAACAATACAGGACTTTATCCTTGTTTTTTTTTATCTCTGCAATAATATCATATCATTTACAAAGCTTTTTTTGTAATACCTATTTGACTCTTTATTTAATCATTTATGCCAGAAAGGTAGTGATACACAAATACATGTTCATGCACTCTCCCCATTTTTGGAGGGAGACTCAATTTTGGGCCCTAAATTGAGCATTTACAACAAGTGAATTGCTGAACGATATTTCTGATGATTTTTCCAGAACAATTAATTACAGAACAACTTAATAGATGCCACTTAAAAGTGGGTTTTTTCTTCTATGGTGTATATAGACACATTTGATTTATATTTTTGATTTAGAGAACATGAAATATCCCATAATTTTTATTTAAATGTTGGCTGGTATACAATCACCTGGTAAACAAAAAAGCCATTTTTATTTCAAATAAATTTCTATCCAAGTTTGATTCCAGAATTCACTGTGTATTCATGACATCCCAGAAGAATTGTACAACCCTTCATTTATTGAAATCAAATTGCGTCGGGCAAAAGTCACAATACTATATGCCACTTCGTGCATTAAATCGTGGACATTCAAAATCAAGTGTTTTACAGATATATATTAGTATGTATATAAATCTGTGCACAAATTAGAGGTTACAAAGAAATACTATACATCTGAACAATTCAACGTTCAGGTAGTTTTTATATATACAGAAACAAAATGAAAGGTTATACTTACTGCAAATAAACCATTTTGAAGTCCAAAAGGAATGGGCGTAAGTCTTGAGAGAGCGACCACCCTAAATCCCTGGCCGCTTTCCACCACCCGTATCACAGCTTCCATTTTATCGTTGTAGAATCTTTTCATAATACAATTCTTGCAGCAATTTTTCATAACTAAATGTGCAACAAGAATCCCTATACCCCCACATGTCACAACAACTAGAGGTCCATATAATATCCCATATAGATATCCGGCGGCTACCATGAGGAGCATGTACCCCCATGCCATGGGAAAGGACACCACTGTGAATAGCACCAGAAATATTGTGCAGCTTATTGCGGGTTCTGTTTCTTCTAACCAGAGAAGTAAGTTTCTGATGTAATGGCGACATGCTACGACAAGTAAACATATCAATGATATTACAAATACTGAAGAAATTGAAACTTGGTAACAACTTGGACCAGTTCGGAATATATCAGTCTCTGCACTGCTGGGTTGGAATTCCTTCGTCTCCTCATTGCATATAAATGCAGTTGCCTCATCCCCATTAGAGGATGAACTACGTTCATTGTGTAGCGGTTGGTATGCAATGGTTTGAGTCCCCTCCAGGTTAAGTTTTCTACACAGGAACAGCTCATCAAGAGTTGAAGACTCGCCTAACAGGAGTTTGGACTGCTGTGTAATGTGGTGGATCTTGAACTGATTGAACCCATCAGAACACGAAGTCATGGTTAAAATAGGTAGCAGGTCGGTGATAGTATATTGATAAAGTTAGGCTACCTTGCGATTCGATGATTATTTATAGATAACGGTTTGTCACAGTCACCTCATCAAACAACAGTCAGTATCCAGTGGCTATGTAGGTAGGCCGACATCATTATTGACCCGTGGTGTGCGATCGGAGCAGTCGACCCCTAGCGCTCTGTTCGTATTCTACTATAAGATCATATACACACACGGATGCATTGTTATAACACTGCATTCAGAAACTATCAAAACTGTATAAAAACTTTCTCGTATTGAGCGACACTTGTTGAAGTTTTCGCCTGACAATTTCGTCTTCAGTAACGTAGTACTGGACGCTGCTGTTTCTTCAAGTTGACAGTGGCGAAGCAATTTTGGCGGAAAGGCTTGTTATCTGTTGATCTTATAAACAATAACACATGTGAGAAAATATCAGCACATTACACACAGCTTACTTGTAGCGTGCGTGTCCCATATTCAAAGCATGACAACGTAACACAACAGACACCGGAAGTCGCTTGAAGCACTGAAAAGAAATTCGTGTCACGTACAACGTTAAAAATAAACTATGAAAGTTGTCGGAGACGATATTTTATAAATAAAGTAGCAATTCGTTAGTAAATATATTATTCATCTTTACTGTCAGGTTTTCTGTCCTACGTATTTACTTAGATAATATAAAAACGGTAAAGTCAAGATTATAATATCATTTTATTAAACAAGACTTAGCTTGCAGTGTAATGCAATAGAGATTTGAGTACTTGTTCGAGTTATGCGTTTGGCTTACTTTCTCGCCTAGCAACATATTGAGAACCACAGCTTAACATTAAAAGTGAAGATTTTTTTTGGTGAATGGAATATATTTTGAGTTAAAATGGGGAAAAGGTTATTTTAGTATCCTTACAGCTAGAGGGCTAGGGATGTCGGGTATTAGTATTGGCACGGAATTAGATTGTTATCTAAGTCTGTGGTATTGGTTATTTCATAGAAACAAAGCAGTTATTATACGAGAGGGGAGGGGCAATTTTTACGCACGAGAGATGTAAGCCCCGCCCCTCGAGTACGATGTAACCGACTTGTCGCATAAAATGTCACGTGACAATTGTTTTGTTAAAATTTTCACATTTTCTCTAAAACAACGAAAGGCCAGCTTTATTTTCACACGATGCATCTGACATACACGCAGAAAGTGACCTAGAAAGTATCACTGAAACTGTATTGGAAGAATTAACTTCAGACGATTTTGTTACTGTTTGAAAACTATTTATATCTGTGGTCAAAGATGAGATCAGGAAATGCCCGTTGTCAGCCGTTTTAAAGACCCTGTTGAAATTAAGGACTTAAAAATCACAGAACCCGAAGGAGAAATGGTAAAAAAAACGTGGTCGTTACATGTGGAAATGATACAACAGTAATTCTTATACTAGACCTACATATGTAATGGTAATAACCCTACTTACAAGGTTCCATTGTAACGTGTCTTTCCAGCAAAACACGGACTTATACTATTCTAATTTCGTGTAACATGCTACAAAATGAAAACAAGAGTTTCGTTCGCGGACTCTGTAAAGGTGAAATCTGCAACAATTTTGCTGAATAAAAACAATATTTGTACTTTCTTAGTTTGTAATTTTAGTTAACAGGCTCAATGAGATTCACAAATTGGACACGTTACATTTTCATTGGCAGAGTGAGCATGGAGATGTATTGCACTCTGTAGAGGGGTGGAGCTTCACTAATGCCATATATGTTATTAGTAAAACCGTGTTATACCATAGCTAGATCAAAGGAAAAGTGACACGTCTATATGCGATAAGACTACCTTAGTCGGTGTTTAGAGTTACATAACAATGTACCAAACGATTTATCAATAACATTATTATTCAATATTGTGAATGAATGCACGGCCGTCGTAGACATGTTTCTGAGGATAGTGAAATACATACAAACATTAGCTCAGTCACTGAACTAGATTAGAGAGTAGAGCAATGTATTGGACAAACAACGGTAAAAATAAAACATGCCAAAATGTACACACAGATATATCCCTACATGGATAAAATATAGATGAAGCAGAATCAATTGATCAGTTTGTGTTAATATAACAATATATATATAATAGACTAGAGCACTAAAAGATTAAATGATATATGTGTAGAGTGTGTCACATGACAGGTAGTTGGCCACCAATCCCTACCTAGCTAGCCCTATGACACCGAAGCAAATTAGGTTCTTTAAATTGATTAATCCAAGGTGGAGAACGTACGCCATACATATGAATCCAGTTAGAACAACATAAAGCAGAGACACTGGTCGCTTCGAGGCATGTTTAACACGGATTTCTAACACTTATTACGATTATTTTAATTAACATGTACCGTACCCAAGGGGGTGAAGTGGGGAAGGGGTTGACGACGCTCACACCACCACCCCCGCCTTTTAAAATGTTTTGTCTTGTAACTACGAGACTCATGATCTGGCTTTTATTCATATTTCAGTGGCTGTTTATGTAAAGAATGTGGAAAACCCCACTCTAATGCAAGTTATATGAGACAACATGAGATGCGCCATCGAGGGGAAGGTCCTTACAAGCGTAACACTTATTTGAAGCCTTTATGTTAAATTATGGCCACGATTGTAGGAACTCCAAAGAACAAATTTATACCTGTAGCACACACGGAACTGACTTTTTAACTGATCTGGCCTTGCAAAGCCATACGAAACGAGAAGGAGGGAATCTCAAATTTAGATGTAATGTTTGCGAGTTGGCCTTTGAAGAGACGTCGAACCTGAAAAATCATATGACAAAGGATACGGGTGAAAACTGCCATTGTTGCCATGTTAGTATAATAAACGGTATTGACACAAGAAAATCCACGCAGTTAGCACGTATAGCTGTTCAACATGCCATAGATAATATAAGACATTAAGAAATTGTAGTATCCACGAGAAGAGACATTTGTCAATATCAACTGTTTGCACAACACGTTTAACTCCGAACTTTTATAAATACGACCGGAAATCGCTTGCCATATGCATTCATCTATTGTAAGACATACGTATTAAACAGTGTGATGGAAAGAATGTGTCAAAACATTCAATATTTTCAATGTTTGCCATTATGATACATTTACTGAGGTTTTATGTATACATGTAAGTTTGCTAAAGGTATTAGCTTGTAATCCCTTTAATATATTTCATTTAAGCGGTGAGTGATGAACGGAGAAAAAGGTAAATTGGCCTTTTTTAATGAAGCGGTGATAAGTTCTTAACAATTCACGAAAGTCTAATACTCGAATAACAAAGGAATGTTTTGACTCAAATTAAAAGGAGATATTTGACCTGTCATTATATTTTATTAATGAAATCCCTCTTTAGCTGACTAGCTGTGCGAAGCGTGGGCGTGTCTGTATTATGAATGAAAGTGAAAGTTGTCGAAAGATTGATAATAAACGGACATGAATTTGCTCATGACATAATTTATCATTATTTTTTGTTTATTTTTAAAAATTTAAAAATTAACAATTTATATAGGGATTGAATGGATTTTTTTACATGTACATTGCGGTCATATTTACATTTTTGATGTTTGTTCTGTACATGAATCTACCAACTGAAAACAACTGTCATTAGACCATGAATACACTATGAAGCTGATTTCACAAACAGTACCGTTTCTGAGAAGAGTTATATCCCCTTCTCCGAGATAACGTAGTTGCGAGAAATAATAATAAACATTGCAAAAATCATAAATGGTCATATATTTTTGTTACTCATTTTTTTTTTATAACATTGTCATATTAAATACTGACTTCCGACTCGCAATCGATTCCTCGTGGTCACGAACTTTCAAACACCCAAACGTCCGTCTGGGTAATCCCCGAGACATCTACTTGCACATTTAACCCAGAGAACTTTGTAATGACACAGGGTATTTCATCCCTTAATTTATCATCATTTACATGTGCAGGTCTTTTGGCAAACAGCATATTCAACGGCTGTACATTTAACTTCAAATGAGCTCTACGCCTAATGCCGACGGATGTCCTGGATGATTACTATGGTGTCCGATGATTTGAAATAGTGCAGACCTAAACTTTTTTTAAATATATAATATGCGGTGTTTAATGCAAAAAAAATAATCAAAGAAGATCAACTTTTAAAAATGAAAGGAATATCAAGTGTTGGTTATTAGATTCTAGATAAACATTTTTCGTTTCAACAAAATCAGCTTATCGGCGGAAGCTGAACATTTGAAGTTTGTGTGTAGACTGGTATTCTGGCTGTTTATTTTTTTATGGTTTCTGTCCGATACTAGAGTAATATCAAAAATAATAAATTTACAAAAAGTGTTGTAACTTTTTATTGTAGTTCACCGTAGCGTAAATATATGAATTGAATGGATATTTTTCATGTACATTGCGGCAATGAATAGCAGTAGCTAATCTACATATCTTCTGAGGAGCGCGTTACCCTATGACAACCTCTGAGTGGCTTCCGTGTTATGATCAAGTATTTGATCCAGAATTTGATGTCAAGGAATATGCGTTACGCCTCAAATATTACGTTTTTTCTGATCAATTCAAAACTTTATGAAATCCCAATTGTTATTTTCTGCAAAATCTTCTTTTTATAAGATAAATGCAATAAAGCAAATACCTTTAACAAAATACGTGTTGGCTTATTTTTCTCTAACATGGGGCAAAACTTGGACATTTGGAGCGATGACCATCCATGTGAAAAAAAACCCGTTCTGAACCAGAACAAGAGTAATTGACACGAGTTTTCTCGGCCATCCCATGAAGAATTTGAGTTCAGTCTATCATTAAATATTCATGTTATCAATGAAAGCATAATATTTCAATTGGAAAAATATATTTTTATATAAGAAATTTGACATTTAATGTCAAAACCGGTTACGTCCAAATTTGCCGATCATTCGCGAGTGTGCAGTATCGCGCAAACAATCGTCATGGCTGTTTATGTCGTAAAGAAATCGGAATTTTACGACAGTGGTATAATAAAATAAAAACCCCACCAATTACGGATATAATTTCCATGTCAAAATCGTTACGCCCGCAAAACCTAATTAAACCTCAAGTATCACGAATTCGATTCGCTCAGGACCGAGAATTGGGTTGTGAGAAAACTTTACGACATCAAACAATCTCATTTTCGGCAACACGTGATACCTTTTTTTTCTGTGATGGCGGCTGGTTCGGTTGCACCGGAGCCTGCGGAGGTCGGTGAGAAAAGATAAAGTGTTACGCCTCAATCAATGTCGACACTAGTGGAAGAAAAGTTACGATTTCTTGAAATACAAGCTTAAATTCCGACTGATATTCGCCACAATACGTATTAACAGACCACAGTTAACTCCAAATTGGATATTTAGCCGAAACATCGTTTGTCTTTACAGATAACAGCCTTATGAATTTGAAGTACTTCGTATCTCCTGATTCTCCTCCTTCACCTAATGAAGTCAATGTAACGCTTACAAGTTTCTGCAGGATGTCAATGTTACGAATCAATCAATAACGGTATTGAAATATGAAAACAAAAAACATCGTTCCCATTAGGAAATGTAATAACATTTTAAAGACGAAAAATTGATGAATTTGGGAGAAGCAGAGCGAAAAATGTTTTATTTCAAAATTTTGCTGAGCTGTAACGGAGACAAGCTTTCAGTGTGTCCACGGTTACGTCTCGTGTTAGAAATGAACAAATTGACTGATGTCTTACCAAATGTAGATTGCAAAAACAATTCTTGATATTTCAGAAAGTTTACCATTTTCAGATCTTCTTTATTGTTGAAAATATTAAAAAAAAATGTTGTTTCAAAAGGACTACAAAAGCGATGAATAAAATTAATAGTTTTTAAGATGTAACCATTTTGTGTGGACTGACGTCACATGGTGTCTTGGTTACACCACATGGTGGATGGATTGCGTCAAAGTTACACCTGGATACTATTAATAATATTTGCATGAAGTGCATTTAGCATAGTTTCATTCAAACAAAAATAATATTCTGTTGATGTAATCAGCAAGGAAAAACTCTGTCGATGCACTCTGAAGCAAATCATTTGATTTGTATTTGGGTGTAACATTATATCCTGGGCTAATGCTAATGTTACACCCCATGACGGTCACAAGATGTCTTCGTTACACCACAGCTGGTTTGACAGCGTCATTGTTACACCTCGAGAATGTTCACCAGATATATGTATCAAGCCTACAAAAAATATTCTATTCTGAATTTGAAGTATTCTGGATATTTTTATCGGACAGAAAATGGTATGATTGTGCATATACATACTGATGGTATGATAATATTTTTGGGTGTAACCATTCGTCCAAGAAAGTCGTCCACCAAAGACTATTGTTGGTGAAGACACTGCCCCGATGACTAATGTTGGTGAATCCACTGCCCGATGACTATTGTTGGTGAAGACGCTGCCCCGATGACTATTGTTGGTGAATCCACTGCCCCGATGACTATTGTTGGTGAATCCACTGCCCTGATGACTATAGTTGGTGAATCCACTGCCCGATGACTATTGTTGGTGAATCCACTGCCCCGATGACTATTGTTGGTGAAGACACTGCCCCGATGACTATTGTTGGAGAATCCACTGCCCCGTTGACTATAGTTGGTGAAACCACTGCCCCGATGACTATTGTTGGTGAATCCCCTGCCCCGATGACTATTGTTGGTGAATCCCCTGCCCCGATGACTATAGTTGGTGAAACCACTGCCCCGATGACTATAGTTGGTGAAGACACTGCCCCGATGACTATTGATGGTGAAGACACTGCCCCGATGACTATTGTTGGTGAAGACCCTGCCCCGATGACTATTGTTGGTGAATCCACTGTCCCAAAGACTATTGTTGGTGAAACCACTGCCCCAATGATTATTGTTGGTGAATCCACTGCCCCGATGACTATTGTTGGTGAAGACACTGCCCCGATGACTATTGATGGTGAAGACACTGCCCCGATGACTAATGTTGGTGAATCCACTGCCCCAAAGACTATTGTTGGTGAAGACACTGCCCCGATGACTAATGTTGGTGAAAACACTGCCCTGATGACTATTGTTGGTGAAACCAATGCCCCGATGACTATTGGTTGTGAGTCCACTGCCCCGATGACTAATGTTGGTGAAGACACTGCCCCGATGACTATTGATGGTGAAGACACTGCCCCGATGACTAATGTTGGTGAAAACACTGCCCCGATGACTATTGTTGGTGAATCCACTGCCCCGATGACTATAGTTGGTGAATCCACTGCCCCGATGACTATTGTTGGTGAAAACAGTTGGTGGAAGCATTCTCCCAACTACAACAGCTATTATCGGAGAAGACAACGATAGCGTACTTCAATCCTGCAAAGAAAACAGAGGTTATATAACAGTGGATGCAAGTCCACAATGACTAGGAGTAGTCCTGACACAGTCCAACCAAATTGTAGTATATGCCAGCCGAGCTCTCACGGTTGTTGAAAGTAGATACAGCCAGACAGAACGTGAAGTACTTGGTGTCGTCTGGGCATGTGAACATTTAAACGCTTTCCTATGTGCGTCACCTGAATTCACGATTATAACCGATCACAAACCTTTGGAAAAGATCTGGACTAAACCCAACCCGACACTGAAAATATAGGGATGGGGAGTTCGCCTACAACCATACAACCTCAAAATACAGCAGATTATCTGTCACGCCACCCAAGAGAAGGCCCAGTCTCATCCAGCCATGAGGAAAAGGTGGCAGCGTATTATGTGAATTTTATAACAGAGACATCCGTCCCCAAGGCAATGACACTTGATGAGATCAAATCAGCAACCATGAAAGACAAGACCCTGTTAAAGGCAATAGAACTGACCAGGAACGGTCAATGGTATACTATAAAGGATCTCGCCGGGGACGATATTGATTTAATGGAGCTGAGCACTCTAAGAAGTGTTCGAGATGAACTGACAGTTTACACAGACAATGTGCTGCTCCGTGGGACTAGGATAGTGATGCCCTGTGGATTAAGGAACCGAACTATCAAAATAGCTCATGAGGGACACCAGGGGATCACCAAATCCAAATCCTTCATTCGGTCCAAAATTTGGTTCCCAACCATCAACGAGGATGCAGAAAAAGCCATTGGGAAATGCATCGCGTGCCAAGCAACAACAAAACCTACAAAACTTCGCGAACCACTTAAAATGAGCCCTCTACCCTGAGGACCCTGGGAAAGACCTAGTGCTGATTTCTGTGGCCCTCTCCCTTCAGGAGATTACCTATTCGTAATTGTGGACGAATATTCCAGATACCCCGTTGTAGAGACAGTTAAAAGTGTATCTGTAAATACCACAATACCTATCTTGGACAAGGTTACCCGTACATTTGGTATCCTTAAAGTGATAAAAACAGACAATGGCAGTCCATTCAACTCGAGTCAGTTCGCAAAGTATTCAGAGAACATAGGATTTGCTCATAGAAAAATCACTCCGTGCTGGCCAGGGGCAAATGCTCAAGCAGAGGCTTTTAATAAACCTCTCACATGGAACATAAAATCCGGAAGCAAGCCATGCAGAAATTCCTCCGCTAGTATAGAGCGACACCACATACCACCACTGGACTATCTCCGTTTAAGCTTTTGTTTTCTCGAGAACCTAGCACAAAGTTGCCCGAGATCACACTGCACAAAGACTGTAGACCTGAGAACATAGTAATGGAGGAAATTTTGCACAGCAATGACAACTTGGGGAAGTATAAAATGAAATATCTGGAGGATAAGAGGAATAGAGCTTCATACTCTTCTGGGAATGATTTGTGGCCAGGAGACAGTGTTATCCTAGAATCCGATGTGAAAGGAAAACTAACCCCAAAGTATGACCCATTCCCATACCAAGTAATTGGAAAAAAAGCTCTATGATCACTGCAAAACGAGGCGACAAAAGAACAACGAGGAATTCATCAAGATTCAAAAAGATAAGTTTTGACAATCCAGATCTCGACAACACTACAGACATGGAAGATGAATATGAAATACCCGAGGGAGGGTCATCATCCACAGAGACAGTGATAGATACACCAAATCCTAGAGATCAGAGAGAATACGGAAAAAAAACATTCATGAAAGACTGTGCACTAATAGGTGCAAACTAGTTATAAGAAAAGAGCTTAAAGTACATTAGTGCTAACAAGGGCATAACAATCCCTTCCATGTACACAGGTTACATAAACCTGTTTTATAGTTCAAGCTTGTTATTTGTGTTTGTTTGTGCGGGCTAAAGACATGGCTAAATTTGAACTTTTTGAGTATGTGCCATTTAACGATATATCTAGTCAAACATTCTAGTCAATGAACCAGTATTTGATTCCATTCATGTTCTAGTCAAGTGTTTTAGTAACTCATTCAGAACTGTGATTTATACAAAAGACTAAACTCAGTGAAATGTGTTTTATTTCTGTTTAATTCAAAACTAATGATTGTGTACAACTGATACTAACTTAAGCTAACGTTATATTCTAAATAAAAATATGGAGGGATGTAATATCCTACATTATAAATTAGTAACACTATGATTCCGGAAGTTATGTCCGTCATTTGGTTATTATGTTAAGTACAGCGGAAGTGGTCATTATTGAAATACCCGCCATAAAAGCAGCATGGTTTGTTCTGTTATTCCGGGAAACACAGACATTGCAACGTACGTGCATTTAGAACAGCAAAATCCAGACAAAAGTAAAAACATGTTATCATGTATCAACACCAAATAATCCAACCCCATAGGCAGCTGCTCTACAAGCTGCAAAACATGAGACCTGTCCTAGAGCAAACAGAAGCATTCAGGAAAAAGTCCAAAATCTAAAACGAAGAAAAATTAGCATTTGATGTTGTGCATCCCTACGAATGAAAAGAAACAAGAAAGATTCAAGAACACGTCGCCTCTTCGCATAAATAAAATCGTCCAACTACAGATCACTGGCAATATCAAAGAAACTAATCGAGATGTTCGGGAAGTCGGATCAGGATGGGTGTGAGGATGACGGAAAGAAAAGAAGACGACTTGAGGGATGAAAGGAAGCGTAGCATACATACATTTTACGACAACGTAACCAGGGACATTCCAGACACCAGAGATCTTGTAAAAGTAGATGGCCAATATCAAGGAAGGAAAATCCGAGAAAGTTATATGCGACCATTAATGCAAAAGTGACTGCAAGCTCTGTGAGCTACAGCGTGTTTGTTAGGGAGAGTATATGCGAATACTTCATGGACATTGATTTGATTTCTGAAATCTCTCAAATCCTTTATGAGGGACCAGAACAGCTACAAATCACAGACCAGTATACCGCTTACGGATATCACTATGTGGAAGGATGGATGGTGAAGAACATGCAATCTATATACGGAACCAAACTGGTACAAAGGCATTATCGACCCCTACTGCAGGATCACTCCTGCGACACAGTGCAGTGGTGTCAGTGGTAGATGGGCCAGGTGGATTTTAAACGGTACAAACATAAAAAGAATATGTTGCAGAGGGGCTGTTCGAAACACCTCCAGGGAACAATGGAGCCGTCCTTAAAACACACGATTAATGCCAATTGTTCTCTGGACGTTAAACAGAATTAAACCAAACCAAACCCAGTGGGACCAAACCCACCGTTTATACATAATTGAGTCCCCTTGACCCAAGAATGCTCTAGACCAAATTGGGATGAAATCCTTTAATCCCTACGGTAGGAGAATTATTATTACTACCGGTAATGCTTAACGGCCCATCAACACAGGATAGGTCATTAGGGCAAATAAATAGTCGACAAAAACAGATGCAAAATAAAAACCAGATGCAAAATAAAAACAACAAAACAAACCTCAAAGGTAAAAGACAACATCAATTTGAAGGAGGGGAGGTGTGCGCATGTGCAGCGATTATGTTCACTTTCTTCTTTGCACCGATATTTCTTTGGAATATGGCATAGTTTTTGTGGACTGTTTTTTTGTTTGGAAACTCGCTGTGTAACACTATATGATACACCTGGATGTGCAGTCAGCAGGACCGGGTATTTATACAACTGAAAATGTGCTTTTTGTAGCAGGTTATTTTCACCCTTTCATCTCTTTGTTATCGGAGCTGTAGTCCCTGCAGGTAGGGCGTAATAATTTTACCTGCTGCCCCCCATTGCATGATCGTAAGAGGCGACTAAATTTGGGATCTTATCTTTTCTCTTCTTTCTAAACAACTGCTTCTTCCTAATGTCTCCCTTTACAATGCCTTACTTTTGGCCTTTAGTTGAGCGTTCGCCCCTGTGAGGAAGGCTTTGGGTTCTATCCCCTGGCCGAGACATACCCGAGTCTGTAAAAATGGAAGTTTGCCCGTTGTCAGTATAATGTGACCGGATGGGGTGTCCTGCTGGGTGTCTTCGGCAGTATGTTTCAGTAAGGTAGCACTATAAAGTCGGCATCAGTTCCGCGCTATCACAAGGAGACAAACACGAACATATCGCAGCCTCCCAAAAACACAAACGCATACATCTTGCACACAGGGGAGACCGTCCTTAAATGAAGCTAGGACCAACTAAGTGTTCTTTGCCCAGAGTTCATACAGTACACTTCAGGTGATTTGGTACTGAAACCCCGCGCGGGCGACAGTCGTCGCGCAGGCGAAAGGGATTAAAGCCACTCGGCGATTTCACCTGGGCGAAGTCGCGGGGGGCCGCCCACACCGCGCGGCCGAGCGTTGGGGATTAAATATAGTCGATCGGTTGCTACATGAAACTAATGTACTATAGATCTCGCTGACAGTCTATAATCTAGGACGACTGAATTCTGTCATATTAACTGTATTTTATGAGATATAAATGGCAGTAAAAAATATACGCAACCACATCAAATCATCCGATGCTAATTGCTGTGTAAAACATCGGCAAACTAGTCTGTTTACATGTGGCTAGAACCTACCGTACGGCATCGTAAACGATGTTAACTGCCTATCTGTTCTATTATTCGTATGCATTATGCTAAGTTTGAAGAATTACGATAGTTACAGAGAATGAGAATTACGTAATACTTGGTACGTGTCAACAAACCATTTTCAAAAAGAACACGCCCACAAGCAACAAGTTAGTTTTTCACATGTCAATCAATCGCACGCAACTATATGCAACATTGTATCTACATAATGTAGTTGATCAGTCATGTTGGCAGTTCTACCCACCCGATGAAAAAGATACAATGTTGCACATAATACCAAAGGTTTACAAAACAAGGGACCCTAGTGTACGAGTTTGTTAAGACCGAGAAAATTACGGAAGAGTCCCTAAATGCAAC